CCCTGCCTTCGTCAGCACCGTGGGCATCGACTTCAAGGTCAAAACCATCTATCGAAATGACAAGAGGATCAAGCTGCAGATCTGGGTGGGTCCCAGCTGGAGGGCTCTCTCGGGCTCCCGTCTTTGGAAAAGCAGCCCCAACCTCATGTGTCTCTTTCCTGGCTGCACTCACTCACTTACACACTGGGCATTTAGCAAGTCCGTGCTGTGTACCAGGGGCAGAAACAGATGGCACCTGTGTTCTCCCATAAGTGCCTAATCCTGGGGCCTCAGTTTCCCTGTCTTCAAGTACTTCCATGTGTGCGGTTTCAGCTGGATCTTGGTCCCCATTCTCTTTTTTATTCATTTGAGATGGAGTCTCACTCTGCCTCACGAGCTGGGGTGCAGTGGCGTGATCTCGGCTCACTGCAACCTCTGCCGCCCGGGTTCAAGGGTTCTCCTGCCTCAGCCTCCCAAGTAGCTGGGATTACAGGTGCCTGCCACTGTGCCCGGCTAATTTTTGTAGTTTTTAATAGAGATGGGATTTCACCATCTTGGCCAGGCTGGTCTTGAACTCCTGACCTCATGATCCACCTGCCTGGGCCTCCCAAAGTGCTGGGATTACAGGCGTGAGCCACCGAGCCCAGGCAACTTCATCACCATTCTGTTTGTTTTTTGAGACAGGGTGATCTTGCTCTGTCATCCAGGCTGGATTGCTGTCGCATGATCATGGCTCTCCGCAGCCTCTACTTTCTGGGCTCAAGCCATTCTTCCACCTAAGCCTCCCAAGTAGCTGGAATTCCAGGCGTGCACCACCACGCCTGCGAAGTTTTTTCCTTTTATAAGAGACAGGGTATGGCTATGTCTGCCCAGGCTGGTCTTGAACTCCTGGGCTCAAGTGATCCTCCCATCTCAGCTTCTCAGAGTGCTGGGGTTACAGGCATGAGCCATCCCACTTGGCCTTCTTAGTTTTAAGAGACAGAGCCTCACTCTGTTGCCCAGGCTGGATTTGAACTGGGCTCAAGTGATCCTCCTGCCTCAGCTTCCCAAGTAGCTGGGAGAACAGGCGCGTGCCACTGAGTCCGGCTTCCTTTAGTTTTTAAACCTACAGTTCTATTCTCTCCATCTTTGGAAAAGATGGCTTGATTTTTCTTCTTGGTCCTTGTCACCCTCCAATATAGGATACATTTACCTGTTATTTTCTGTTTCTCACACTGGGGTGTCACTTAGCAAGGCAGGGAGTTCTGCCCATTTGTTAACAACTGTGTCCCCAGTGTCTAGTTCAGGGTGTGGCAAAGATCAGCGTCCAGTCCATGTTTGTTTATTATTTTTCGAGACAAGAGTCTCACTCTGTCACCCAGGCTGGAGTGTAATGGTGTGCTCCTGACTCACCGCAACCTCCGCCTCCCGGGTTCAAGTGATTCTCCTGCCTCAGCCTCCTGAGTAGCTGGGATTACAGATGTGCACCACCACGCCCGGCAGGGTTTCACCATGTTGGTCAGACTGGTCTCAAACCCGTGACTTCATGATCCGCCCATCTCAGCCTCCCAAAGTGCTGGGATTACATGCATGAGCCACCACACCTGGCCCCATTTGTTTTTTGAGGCAGGGTTTCACTCTGTTGCCCAGGCTGAACTGCAATGGTGCGATCTCACCTCACTGCAACCTCTGCCTCCCGGGCTCAAGCGACCCTCTTACCTGAGCGTCCTGAGTATTGGGACTACAGCTGTGAGCCACCATGCCGCATTCATTTTTATATTTTTTTGTAGAGAAGGGGTCTCGCTATGTTGCCCAGGCTGATCTGGAACTCCTGGGTTCAAGCCATCTGCCCATCTCAGCTTCCCATAGTACTGGGATTACAGGTGTGAGCCACAGCACCCTGCACAGGACATGTTTGTTGAATGACTCTGTGGGATGATGGAGCACTCATACACTCTGAGCACTATGACCGAGCCTGCTCTTCCTGACACTGTGCTCCTGAGCAAGCTCCTACTTCTCCCAGGGGGCTGAACTGGGTGATATCAGAGCTCATTTCCTCTCTGAGGGCCTGATGTGTGGGTCCTCTCTGATCTCTATCTCTTCCTCTCTAGGACACAGCAGGGCAAGAGCGATACCGGACCATTACCACTGCCTACTACCGGGGCGCGATGGGCTTCATCCTCATGTATGACATCACCAACGAAGAGTCCTTCAATGCTGTGCAGGACTGGTGAGTACACCCCACTCACTGTTTTTTTTTTTTTTTGAGAGAGGGTCTTACTCTGTCGCCCAGACTGCAGTCCAGGCTCACTGCAGCCTCGACCTCCTGGGCTCAAGTAATCCTCCTGCCACAGCCTTCCAAGTAGCTGGGACTACAGGCGCACACCACCACACCTGGCTAAGTTTTTCTATATTTAGTTGAGATGGGGTTTTGTTATTTTGCCGAGGCTGGTCTTGAACTCCTTGGCTCAAGTGATCTGCCCGCCTCAGCCTCCCAAAGTGCTGGGATTACAGGCGTGAGCCACTGCTCCTGGCCTTCCACACTCATTCTGGGACCATTGTCTCTGAGACAAAGTTGCTCCCAAAAAAGAAATAGGCCAGGTGTGGTGGCTCATGCTTGTAATCCCAGCGCTTTGGGAGGCTGAGGGGGGCGGATCACAAAGTCACGGGTTCGAGAGCAGCCTGGTCAACATAGTGAAATCCTGTCTCTCCTAAAAGTACAAACAAATAGCTGGGCGTGGTGGTGGGTACCTGCCATTCCCAGCTACTTGGGAGGCTGAGGCAGGAGAAGTGCTTAAAGCCTGGGAGGCAGAGGTTACAGTGAGCAGAGATTGCGCCACTGCACTGCAGCCTAGGCCACAGTGCGAGACTCCGTCTCTAAAAAATAATTAATAAATAAATAAAAGGTAGGGATCAGGGAAGGATTTCAGCTAGAAAAGTAAAACTGTAAACATATAGAAAAAAATAGCTGCAAGTGTAGGGTGGAGACAGAGACTTTAAGGAGAGCTGGTTAGAGGTGGCAAACATTGCAATTTTCTGCTCAGAAGTAAAAACTCTTTGAAAAGAGTTCTGGGCCAGGCACAGCGGCTCACGCCTGTAATCCTAGCACTTTGGGAAGCAAAGATGGACAGATCTTGAGCTCAGGAGTTTGAGACCATCCTGGCCAACATGCTGAAACCCGCCCCTACTAAAAACACAAAAGATTACCCAGGCGTAGTGGCTCATACCTGTAGTCCCAGCTACTTGGGAAGCTGAGGCAGGAGAATCACTTGAACCTGGGAGGCAGAGGTTGCAGTGAGTGGAGATCGTGCCACTGCACTCCAGCCTGGGCAACAAGAGTGAGACTCCATCTCAAAAAACCCCAAACACACAAACAGTAACGGGTCAACTGGGGGCTGGAGTGGGGGGAACGAGGAGCACACAGGGGAAAGGATGGTGGGGAGGATGGAGGGCCGAGCTTCAGGGTCTTCCTCCCTGGGACAAGGACGCAGGCTCCACAGCAGCCCGTCAGGGTGGAGCTGGGATCCTCGACGCTCTAAGCTGTCCCCATTGCTGCCTCCTGCAGGTCCACGCAGATCAAGACCTACTCGTGGGACAATGCCCAGGTGCTGCTGGTAGGAAACAAGTGTGACATGGAGGATGAGCGGGTGGTGTCGTCAGAACGTGGCCGGCAGCTAGCTGACCACCTTGGTGAGTGCCCAGCCGGGCCAGAGACCTGCAAGGCTAGAAAAAGGATACTGAGGTCCAGAGAGGGGAGGGCATGAACCCAAGGTCTTACAGCTAAGTCAGGTAATTCATTCACATGTTCTGCAAACTTGCCTTCATCCAGGAGCCATTTGAGTTGGACCCTGAGGGCTATGTAGGAGTTCGCTGCGCAGAAAGTTAAAGGTTTATTCTGATTCTCACCGTCCAACACTTTGTTGGGTGGTGCTGGGCTTGAGAGGCAGGTAGGGGTACCTCGAGGGACCTCTGGGGTGGAGGGAGGGACCTAGGCAGGAGGAGCCCATGGTGGGAGCCAGGCTTCCTGGAGAGGCGGGCAGTGGGCTCTAGTGCTTGGAAGAAGGGTGTTTTAGGCAGAAGAAACAACTTGGGTAAACGCTTGCGGTGAGAAAGCTCCTGTGTGTTTTGGTAATAGTTTCACATGACTGGAACAGGAGGATCAGCTGGAGGAAGTGTGGCTAATTAGAGAGGGCCTCAACCATGTGCTGAGAGGCCGGGACTCTTTGGAGGGCAATAAGGAGCCACAGAGGGTGTGTGAGCAGGGGGAGGTCACGGCTGGATCTGAGAGTCAGAGGCTTCCAGGCCCAGTGCATGGGGCTGGGCATGTCTTGCCAGGTCCCTAAGGACAGTGAGACACACTTTTAGGAAGGAAGGGCAGGAAGCCAGACGCAGTAGCTCATGCCTGTAATCCCAGTACTTCAGGAGGCTGAGGTGGAGGATCACTTGAGCCCAGGAGGTCAAGACCGCAGCAAGCTATGATCACGCCACCATACTCCATCCTCAGCAACAGAGCAAGGCCCTGTCTCAAAAACAAAGAAACAAAAAAGGAAATGCAGTCGACCCAGTTCAATGTGGCTTCCCTGCAGGACTTGTCAGTACCTTCAATAAGTTGCTTGGCACAAGACTCTCCAGGTGTTCCCTTTGCTGAGAGAGGCATCTCTAGGAGTTGGCGTGGGGCATGGCCAGGGTCCTCATCCTTGCCTTCTCTGACCACAGGGTTCGAGTTCTTCGAGGCAAGCGCCAAGGACAACATTAACGTCAAGCAAACCTTTGAGCGCCTGGTGGACGTCATCTGTGAGAAGATGTCGGAGTCTTTGGACACGGCGGACCCTGCGGTCACAGGCGCCAAGCAGGGCCCGCAGCTCAGTGACCAGCAGGTGCCGCCACACCAGGACTGCGCCTGCTGAGAGCCACCCGGCCCCTTGCCCCTCTTCCCCACCTCCCCCCACCTCCCCAGGCCTGACCCGCCCCCACCAGCCATGGGCACAAGACCCCCACTCCCAACTTAGCCCGCCACCCTTATTTATTATTGTAGCTATTTATTATTGAAGATGTCCCGCAGGGGCCCGGGCTCCCCTGCCCGACCCCAGCCCTGCCCATCCTGTACATATAACCCTTTCCCAGCTCAGCTGTGGTGTGTCGTGGCCTCGTGAACTTACCCCTCCTCCCCGACACCCTCCCTGCCTTTTTTAAATTCACCCCCATCCACAGTTGTTGGTTGTGAAGAGGGGGCCAGATGACACCCTAGAGCAGGCTGATCGGGCGATGGGAGGTGGCCAGGCCTGCCAGCCCCTCGGCTCTGCTGCGGTGGGCCGAGGCCGCTGTTGGGGGGTTCCCCGTGTGGACCATGGGGGTCAGAGTCTAGCCTGCCAGGCTCCTCTCCCCCAAGTTTTTTCTTTTGGTGGGGGGTATGCTGTGGGTATTCACCACCCTGGGACCCCCCTGCCCACTGGACCTGTTCTGACCTCATAAGTGTCAAATGTGCCCCCCAGTTCCTTAGGAGACATCATGAAACACTACATCCATCCAATAAAGCGAATGGACCACGTGTGTCCCTGTGAGCACCAGCCCTGCCCACCCTGGCTCTGGTCATCCATAGCCTTTGCTTTTGTTATTTTTATTTGTAACTATAAATAGAGACAGGGTCTTGCTATGTTGCCCAGGCTGGTCTCAAACCCCTGGCCTCAAGCGATGCTTCCACTTCAGCCTCCCATTTCAGGTGTGAGCCACTGCACCTGGCCAGCAGTTTCAATTACACGACAGAAAGAATTTAATGGATTGTCCACAGCTCACGACCAGGGAAGAAACCCAGAGGCTTCCCGGCCCTGCTTGAAACTTTGGGGCCAACTCCAGGCCTGAGCCTGCTCTGAGGGAACGGGCCACATTGCCCACTTAGTCGCAGGACCTGAGGGAGCTCTGGATTGGCGGCTTGGCCCAGAGCCACCTGGACGGCAGTGTTGTTGGGCTGGTGCTTGGGACTGATTGGCTGGGTGGGCCCTGTGCTGAAGATGGGACATCTTGGTCACAGGTTGCATGAGGCTCCTGCTGAGAAGGGCTAGGGGATGATCATCCATCTTCACAGGTGTGTTCTAGCTGGGCAAACAGTCCCAGAAGTGAGCTTGGAAAGGGCAGCTCAGCCCAGTGCCTGGGAGCTGGAGGGATGCTGGGACGTTGCCCTGGACCCCAACTTGCTGCAGGGACCCATTCCCCTTCTAGCAGAGCGTGTGGTCCACCAGGAGTCAGTCTTGCGTCCGGTCCCAGGGGGCAGACAGCTCAGTCCACTCGGGTGTCCAGGGCCACACAGCCTGGGGGTGTCAGAGGAACTGGGCTCTGTCCACACAAGACAAGGCATCTGGTCAGAAGCCTGGTTCATCCCTCCCGGTCCCTCCTGAGCCCTGTCCTACCCGTCCCTGTATCCCCCCTGAGCAGTCCCCTGGGTACCTGGTATGCCCACCATACTCACCCGGTACTTCAAGTAGGACAGGTATGTGTCCCAGCCCAGCGTCAGGCCATTGATGTAGGTGACTCGGAATTGGGGGGGCACGAAGAGGAAGTTCACCAACTGCGCAGCAGGCCACACGCACCAGTCAGCCTACGGGGAGAGGTGGGGTACGATGAGGGGCGGGGCCAGAGCAATGAGGGGGCGGGGCCAGACACGTCCAAGGGGCGGGTGCTCCCACCTTGTAGAATTCCCAGAACTTGTCCCGCAGCTCCTGGAAGCTCTCAGCCAGTGTCTGGCCCTCCAGGCAGCCAAGGCCTGGGAAGGAAACCAAGAAATGGGAATGTTAGAGGCCAGGAAATACTGTTGAGATGACAAGCCGGACTCACGATGGCGGGGGTGGCGTTGGACCCCTGAGAGTCCCCACCCCAGACAGAGAGACAGGGACTTTCAGATGGAATAGACAGAGAATCAAGTGGCTGGTGTAGGGACAAAATAGAGCAAGTCAGTCCCAGTGAGAGAGACGTTATAAACATGCAAACACGTGCCCCAAAGGAGACGCACCCTGAAGATGAGGCATGTTTATTACTTTTCCATCACAGACCAGGAAGCTGGGCTGGGAGGTGGAGAATGAGCGACTCCTCTATAAATACCACTGTCTTTATCGAGCCTAGGGCTGGGACGGTTGCACCCTGGGAAGTCCAGCCTCAATTCCTCTTCCTTCAGGCATCAGGCCTTTGCCTTAGCTGTTCTCTCTGCCCGCCGCTTCCCTCTTCACGTCGCAACTGAGTGTGCCCTCTTTTGGGAAATGCTCTCAACCTCCCGCCCAGGGCGGCCCCATCAGATACTGTCCTGGTCCCTCCTACACTCGCAGCGTTCACATCGGCCGGGTCTGTCCTGTCCCCACTGTGACATGGCTCCTAGTCCAGGGCCACCCAAACTCGGAGCACATCGGAAAGGCACCTCTGCAACTTTCTTAACACAAAGCTGGCTCCACCCCTCCCGAAAGCCGAGGTTTAGGAGGCTCCTTACCCAAGAAGTACCAGACGCCCAGCACGGGAGAGGCTACCAGTTGATCCACGAGGACCTTCTTGAGGACATTTGGGAAGCCTCGGAGGCCAGACGCAGGGAATAGGCGGTCCAGCGACAAGTACCAGTAGTGCAGGAAGGGACCCATGCTGCAGCCCACCGCAAACATGCTTGCTATAAGAGTGTAAGTCAGAGGGCTGGGCCGGGCCGAGAAATTCCCCAGTCCATTCCCTCCCTCCCTGGCTAAGCCCAGTGCAAGGCTCTATCCCGAGCCTCAGCCTCACCGGGAAAACGGGAAGAGCCCACCCGTGCATTCTCCACTACAAGCCCCACCAGCAGGCGCGGCTCCAGAGGCTCCTAGGTAGCGGGCAGAGACCCCCGGGGGTTGGGAGGTGATGGAGTCCCAGGGCTGCGGGAAGACAGAGACCCGGGGAGAGGCGCGGTAAGGGCGAGGGTCCTGCGGGGGACTGAGGTCACGGCCCGCAGGTCTGGTGTCGGGATCAAAGGTTGCCCGGGGTGAAGGACTAAGCAGTGCGGTGTCCTCACCGGAGCGCCGCGGGTCGAAAACCTGGCCCGGCCGGGAGCGGATCTCCCAGGACTGGCGCACGCCGTCCCCGGCCGCCATAAGGGCGCCGCAGCCCAGCGTGTTGGTGACGAGCAGAGCGCGCCCCTGGAACAGAAGCTGCCCCGCGGACAACAGGCGGTGCAGCCGGCGCCAGCTGTCCCGCGCCATCGTCCCCGGAAGTCCAGGAACCGGCGTGCCGCTCCGTTCCCGCTGCGCTGACCAGTTGCGAGACACCGTCGATCCCAAATTCCCCGCCCCTCTGGCGTCACGGCCCATCGCATAAGGATCTGCGGTCGGCAGGCCCGCCCCGCGCCGCGCCGCGTAGACCAATCGCAGGCAGCCTCAGGGAGCCACATTGCCCGCCCCGAAGAGTATTGGCCAATAAAAGGCAGGCGTTCTATCCCAAGGTTGATCTCCGAACGAAGCTGTACACGCCCTCCAGAGCCTCACGGACCAATCGGAAAAAGAATTGCGTTATGTCACGCATGCCTATTGGTAACTTTGTACTCTTGTTGCCTCGCCCCTTTCTGTGCCAGGCTATGGGAAACCGACGCAGCCCCGTTTACGGACACGCCCAAGACGGCACTGGCCAATCGCAGACCGGCGTCACGCTGGCAAATCAGTGACTGTTGTCCCGCCTCCTGCGTTGGGGTTGATCAATCTTAGGCAGTTACAGCGCCTTCTGGCCTGGTTGCCCTCCGGATTTCCAGATTTTCCTGGACTTAACCAGAAGGGATGCGATCTGTGGCCACGACAGCTACCGAGGTGGACTCCAATCCTGCAAAAAAGATTCATGGAACTTGGGGTGGGGTACAGTTCTGCTGCGGCCCAGCCCAATTGGAGCCCCCTCCCCACGATAACCTTGGGCCTGACCTTAACTGGTCCTCTTACCTCAGTTTCCGAATAATGACGGTAATTGAAGTGTTAGTCACGGTTGTAGGCATACGATGCGCTTTAACTCCTTCCAATCAAATTTGTGCTCTTGCAGAAAAAATTATATCCTAATTTTACCGTTCCCGAAGGGAAAAAATATTTTTTCTTTATTTTTTAAGGATGGGGTTTCACCATATTGGCCAGGGTGGTCTCGATCCTCTGACCTTGTGATCCACCTGCCTCGGCCTTCCAAAGTGGGATTACAGGCGTGAGCCACCGTACCAGTCTAAACCTTTTATTTGATGAACTTTTTTTTTTTGAGACAGTCTTGCTCTGTCGCCCAGGCTACAGTGCAGTGGTGCAATCTCGGCTCGCTGCAACCTCTGCCTCCTGGGTTCAAGTGATTCTCCTGCCTCAGCCTCCGGAGTAGCTGATTACAGGCATGTGCCACCATGCCTGACTAATTTTGTATTTTTAGTAGAGACAGGGTTTCTCCATGTTGGTCAGGCTGATCTTGAACTCCTGATCTCAGGTGAACTGCCCACCTCAGCCTCCCAAAGTGCTGGGATTACAGGTGTGAACCCTGAGCTGGGCCCACCATTTTTTTTTTTAAACTATTGAGTTTTGTATTATCACACCTGTCTCATAGCCATATATATATATATATATATATATATATATATATATATATATATTTTTTTTTTTTTTTTTTTTTTTTTTTTGAGAGGGAGTCAGTCTTGCTCTGTCGCCCAGGCTGGAGTGCAATGGCGTTATCTCGGCTCACTGCATCCACCACCTCGTGGATTCAAGCAATTGTACTGCCTCAGCCTCCTGAGTAGCTGGCATTACAGGCACGTGTCACCATGCCCAGCTAATTTTTTGTATTTTTATAGAGACGGGGTTTCATCACATTGGTCAGGTTGGTTTCTAATTCCTGATCCACCCGCGTCGGCCTCCCACAGTGCTGGGATTACAGGCGTGACCCACCGCGCCCGGCCTCATAGCTGTAATTTTTAAATGAAAGCTGTAAGAGCTGTGATTGCACCTGTCTATATTTATATATTTATTTTATAGGTATGTTACTTTCTCCCTCTTGATGGAATTCCTAAAGATCAACTTGTAAAGGAGCTCTATTTCATTGGCTTTAGAAAACCACATGCACTTATGTAAATTAAGACTAGTCAAACAGGCTTCTGTTATCTTTAGATGTGGAAGATGGTAAACGTGTAAAGTATAAAACTATAAATTAAATGTAAGAACACCACATGCAATAAAAGTGAATTGCTTGGCTGGGCGGTGCTCGGCTCTGTCATCCCAGCACTTTGGAAGGTTGATTGGAGGTGGATCATTTGAGGCTAGGAGTTCAAGAACAGCCTGGGGAGCCAGGCAGGCAGATCATGAGGTCAGGAGTTCGAGACCATCCTGGCCAACATGGTGAAACCCCGTCTTTACTAAAAATACAAAAATTAGCCAGGCATGGTGGCAGGTGCCTGTAATCCCAGCTACTCAGGAGGCTGAGTCAGGAGAATCACTTGAACCCAGGAGGCAGAGGTTGCAGTGAGCCGAGATCGTGCCACTGTACTGTATCCTAGGTGGCAGAGCAAGACTCTGTCTCAAAAAACAAACAAACAAACACACACACACACACGGTAATTTACCATCCATGGTGCCTCGCACCTGTAGTCCTAGCTACTCGGGAGGCTGAGCAGGGAGGATCACCTGAGCCCTGGAGACAGAGGTTGCAGTGAGCCGTGATCACACCACTGCACTTCAGCCTGGGTGACAGAACAAGACCCTGTCTCAAAAAATAAATAAAAATTTTTACAAAGTGAACTGAGGGTGGGCGTGTGGCTCATGCCTGTAATCCCAGCACTCTGGGAGGCTGAAGCAGGTGGATTGCTTGAGTCCAGGGTTTGAGACCAGGCTGGGTAACAGTGAAACCCTGTCTATACTAAATATATTTAAAAAATTAGGATAGCAGCGATCTCCTCCTCGGCATCATGGCCGCCCTTAGACCCCTTGTGAAACCCAAGATCGTCAAAAAGAGAACCAAGAAGTTCATCCGGCACCAGTCAGACCGATATGTCAAAATCAAGTGTAACTGGCGGAAACCTAGAGGTATTGACAACAGGGTTCGTAGAAGGTTCAAGGGCGAGATCTTAATCCCTAACTTTGGTTATGGGAGCAATAAGAAAACAAAGCACATGCTGCCCAGTGGCTTCCGGAAGTTCCTGGTCCACAACGTCAAGGAGCTGGAAGTGCTGCTGATGTGCAACAAACCTTACTGTGCTGAGATCGCTCACAATGTTTCCTCCAAGAACTGCAAAGCCATCGTGGAAAGAGCTGCCCAGCTGGCCATCAGAGCCACCAACCCCAATGCCAGGCTGCGCGGCGAAGAAAATGAGTAGACAGCTTATGTGCACGTTTTGTGTTCAAATAAAACTGGCCTCTTCCTTAATTTAAAAAAAAAAAAAAAATTAGCTGAGCATTGTGGCCCGCGCCTGTAGTTCCACCTACTCGGGAGGCTGAGTGGGGAGGATCACTTGAGCCCTGGAGTCAGAGGTTGCAGTGAGCTGTGATGTCACCGCACTGCACTCCAGTCTGGGTGACAAAGTGAGACCCTGTCTAAAAAAAAAAGAAAGATGACTTGCTTCATGGATGTCAAGTCTGACAATAAATTAATTTTAAAAAGTAAAGCAGAGACCCGTCAGTGGTTTTTTTCTGGCTTGCTTGGATGGTTATTTCTCAGACACGGTGTTATTTTGTCAGCCAGGCTGACGTGCAGTGGCACGATCTCAGCTTACTGCAGCCTCTGCCTCCCAGGTTCAAGCGATTCTCGTGCTTCAGCCTCCCGAATACCTGGGATTACAGGCATGAGCCACCACGCCCTGCTATTTTTGTTTTTAGAGGTGAGGGTTCACCATGTTGGCCAGGCTGGTGATCCGCCTCCTAGCCTCAAGTGATCCGCCCCCCTTGGCCTCCGAAAGTGCTGGGATTACAGGCGTGAGCCACTGCACCTGGCCTTTTTTTTTTTTTTTTTTTTGAGGTGGAATTTTGCTTGTCACCCAGGCTGGAGTGCAGTGGTGCAATCTAAGCTCACCGCAACCTCCACCTCCTGGGTTAAAGCAATTCTCCCGCCTCGGCCTCCAGAGTAGCTGGGATTACAGGCGTGCGCCACCGTGCCCAATTAATTGTTTTTGTATTTTTAGTAGAGACGGGGTTTCACTATGTTGGCTTGACCTCGTGATCCGCCCACCTCTGCCTCCCAATGTTCTGAGATTACAGGGGTGAGCCACCGCGCCTGGCTTGTGAATTTTTATAGTGTGACTCAAGATACATGAGGCTGGGCTCAGCACTATAATCCCAGCACTACAGGAGCCCAAGGCAGGAGGGTGGCTTGAGGTCAGGGGTTTGAGACCAGCCCAGGCAACATGGCAAAATCCTGTCTCTGTAAAAATTAACAAACAATGCTGATTCAGAGCATCTAAAAAGAAAAAAATAAAAATGAACAAACATTGAGAGTGATGATGAGCACCTGTAGTCCCAGCTACTTGAGAGGCTGAGGCAGGAGGACTGCTTGAGCCCAGGAAGTTGTGGCTACAGTTAGCTGTGATCGTGCCACTGCACTCCAGCCTGGGTGACAGAGCCATGTCCTGTCGAGTAAGGAAGAGCTGGTGTCGTGTCTCACACCTATAATCCGAGCACGTTGGGAGGCCAAGGCCGGCAGATCGCTTGATTCCAGGACTTTGAGACCAGCTTAGGCAACATGGCGAAACCCCGTCTTCACTACCAGTTCAGAAATTAGCCAGGTGTGGTGGCGTATGCCTGTAGTGCCAGCTACTCTAGCTGAACCCGGAAGGCGGAGGCTGCAGTGAGCTGAGATCGCACCACTGCACTCCAGCATGGGTGACAGAACGAGACTCTGTCTCAAAACAGAAAGAAAAAAAAAGGAAGGAAGGAAAGCGAGGTTAAGGGGGACAGAGAGAGAGGAAGAGACGAAGAAAGAAGAAATGCTCATTCAACGTGTGATTGCTCATACCATTCAGGGACCTAACTTAGGTTCCCAACTCCTACCTAAGCCACCACCTTTTAAAATGAGACACACGTGTGTAACCAAGCTAACCTATTATCAGGACAAAGATGTTGATCCAACAATATGGCATAGTGTGCCTACATTTCTTTTCTTTTCTTTCTTTCTTTTTTTTTTTTTTTTGAGACCCAGTCTTGCTCTGTCGCCCAGGCTGGAGTGCAGTGGCGTGATCTCAGCTCACTGCAACCTCCACCTCCCGGGTTCAAGCCATTCTCTTGCCTCAGCCTCTCGAGTAGCTGGGACTAGCGGTGCATGCTACCACGTCTGGCTAATTTTTTGTACTTTTAGTAGAGACAGGGTTTCACTGTGTTAGCCAGGATAGTCTCGTTCCCCTGACCTCGAGATCTGCCCGCCTTGGCCTCCCAAAGTGCTGGGATTATGGGTATGAGCCACCACACCTAGCCTCACTTTTGCATTTTTAGTAGAGATGGGGTTTCGCCACGTTGGCCAGGCTGGTCTTGAACTCTGGACCTCAAGTGATCCTCCCCACCTGAGCCTCCCAAAGTGCCGTGATTACAGACGTGAGCTGCTGCACCCGGCCACGTTATTCTTTTTCACTTTCCCTGTTCTACTCTTTGGAATCAAGTCACTAAATCCAGTTCACTATGAAGGTGGTTGTAGGGCCGGGCGCAGTGGATCATCTCTGCAATCGCAGCACTTCGGGATCCTCAAGAATGATCGCTTGAGCCCAGGAGTTTGAGACCAGCCTGGGGAAAACAACCAGACACCATCTCAAAATAAAGAGAAAGAAACAGGGCCGGGCGCGGTGGCTCATGCCTGTAATCCCAGCACTTTGGGAGGCCGAGGCGGGCAGATCACAAGGTCAAGAGATCGAGACCATCCTGGTCAACATGGTGAAACCCCGTCTCTACTAAAAGTACAAAAAATTAGCTGGGCACAGTGGTGCGTGCCTGTAGTCCCAGCTACTCGGGAGGCTGAGGCAGGAGAATTGCCTGAACCCAGGAGGCGGAGGTTGCTGTGAGCCGAGATCGTGCCATTGCACTCCAGCCTGGGTAACAAGAGTGAAACTCTGCCTGAAAAAAAAAAATAAAATAAAATAAAGAGAAACAAACAAAGGCATTTGTAGGGGTGGAATTAAGCCTCACCTCCTTGAAGGAAGTTATAACATCTGTGAGACGGCCAGTCTGTCAGTAAGAAAGAGACAGCGCTCAACATGCTTTTTCCCTTCTTTTTCATTTAAGAGGCATTAAGAGTCGTGGCCGAGCGCGGTGGCTCACGCCTGTAATCCCAGCACTTTGGGAGGCAGAGGTGGGCGGATCATGAGGTCAAGACAACATAGTGAAACCCCGTCTCTACTAAAAATACAAAAATTAGCTGGCGCGGTGGCACGTGCCTGTAATCCCAGCTACTCGGGAGGCTGAGGCAGGAGAATTGCTTGAACCCAGGAGGTGAGATGCTGAGATTGCGCCACTGCACTCCAGCCTGGCTGGCGCTTGGCAACAGAACAAGACTCTGTCTCAAAAAACCCAAAAACCAATGAGTTACATCTGACTTTCAGGTTCGTACAGGCTGATTCTGGCCAATCCAAATCCTCAGGATATTTTTAGGGGCCACGTGAGGCGGCTCATGCCTATAATCCTAGCACTCTGGGAGGCCAAGGCGGCCAGATCATTTGAGGTCAGGAGTTGGAGATCAGCCTGGCCAACATAGAGAAACCCAGTTGCTACTAAAAATACAACAATTAGCTGGCTGTGGTGGCTCACACCTGTAATCCCAGCTACTCAGGAAGCTGAGGCAGGAGAATCGCTTGAACCCAGGCAGAGGAGGTCGCAGCGAACCGGGATTGCACCACTGCACTCCTGCCTGGGCCACAGAGCGAGACTCTATCTCAAAAAAAGAAGAATTAAATCAAGTCTTTTTGTGTTTGTTTAGTTTTGAGACAGGGTCTTGCTCTGTCTCCCAGGCTGGAGTGCAGTGGTGCGATCATAGCTCACTGCAGCCTTGACCTCCTGGGGCCAAGCGATCCTCCCACCTCAACCTCCTGAGTAGCTGGGAGGACAGGCACACCCCACCACACCTGGCTAATTTTTAAATTTTTTGTAATCATGCTGATTTTGAATTCTTGGCCTCAAGCAATCTTCACACCTTGGCTTCCCAAAGTACTGGGATTATCCGTGTAGTCATCATGCCTGGACATAAAATCTTTTAACTGGGTGCGGTGGCTCACGCCTGTAATCCCAGCACTTTGGGAGGCCAAGGCGGGCAGATCACGAGGTTAAGAGATCAAGACCAGCCTGAAACCCTGTCTCTATTAAAAATACAAAAATTAGTCAGGCGTGGTGGTGGGTGCCTGCAATTCCAGCTACTTAGGAAGCTGAGGCAGGAGAATTGCTTGAATCTGGGAGGCTGAGGTTGCAGTGAGCTGAGATTGTGTCACTGCACTCCAACCTGGGTGACACAGTAAGACTCCATTTCAACAACAACAAAAAACTAAACTAAAAAAAAAAATCTTTTAACATGTGTTCATTTTACATTAGTATGAGAATCATAGTATTTCCTTCCCTTGAAAACTAGCCTATAAGGCCTGGCACGATGGCTCATGCCTGAAATCCCAGCACTTTGGGAGGCCGAGACAGGTAGATCACTTGAGGTCAGAAATTTGAGACCAGCCTGGCCAACATGGTCAAATCCTGTCTCTACTAAAAATATAAAAATTAGCCAGGTGTAGTGGTACGCGCCTGTAATCCCAGCTAGTTGGGAGGCTGAGGCAGGAGAATTCCTTGAACCCGGGAGGCAGAGGTTGCAGGTAGCGGAGATTGAGGCACTGCACTCCAGCCTGGGTGACAGAGCCAGAATCCATCTCAAAAAAAGAAAAGATATATTGTATAATATACCTTCCTGTTTTGGGGTGTTTATGACTGGCATTCTAGCTCTAGATTTTGCTGCGGCTAGAGTCTTGTACATTCTTTTGTTTCCCTTTCCTGGAACACCCTGACGTCCCCACTAGGGAACAAATTCTTGGCAACTCCCCAGACAGTGTTCCTGCCCCATCCTCTGTCCTTGTCCGGCCCCAGTTCCCATAGTCGGTCTCAATCCATATTACCCAGTATGGGTTCAGCACAATGAGGGTGGCTAGGGATGTCTGTGCAATTAATGAACCCATTTTCTGCCTGACGAACTCCTATTTACCCTTCAAAACCCCAGCCCTGATGCCCTTCTCCCCTATGCAAAGACTTCTCTCCCTCTGGGATCCTCTAGCCCCAGCCCATCCCTTTTGGTCCATCCCTGACCCCAAGAGACTCAGCATGTTTCTCTGGGTCTGCATCCCCTGGACAGAGGCTCCCTGGGCTAAGGCGTGTCAAGGCTCCAGCACTGCACAGGCCTGGGGAAGGGAGAATGTCTGACTTATCAAATCAATTACAGCATCCAGAAGGGTTTATTAAACTAGTTTTACTTTAGCACCGTTCTTAGTGGAGCAAGATTCTTGATCATGGGGTGGAATTTTGTGTCTGGGCTTCATACATAGAAATGTTCCCATTTGTGACCAGCAGATGCCAAGGGTCCGGATTGGAAAAAACGGCAGGGAGCTGGGTTCCCACTTGCCTTCCCTCGGCTCTCTGCAGGGCACCGGCCATCACTTGAAGCAGACGCTCCTGAGGGAGCTGGTTGAGGGAGGGCAGGTATCTGGCTTCTTGCCCTGGAGGGGAAGGCCACTAGTTGGAGTCCTGGAAGGAGACCCCACCCCCACCACCTGAGCCCCACTGCTCCCTGCCCAGCTTACCTGGTACAACTGGCAGACAAGAGCCAGGAGCTGGCTCATATCTTGCAAGGGTTTCTGCATAAAGCAAGA